AATTTTGCTCAACATCCGAGCGCACCCACGTAGCCTGACTTCTGTTTTTGTTTGTTTTGTTTTGTTTTGGTTCGTGCTTCTTAATCACAGAAACGAATATTCACCCATTCATATAAATATGCATGACCCTTGTTCCCCTTTGGCTTACATATAAGCCCCATACATCAACTGATCTCTCAGTCCATGTGCAACAAGGAGCATGTTGAATTTTTTATCTCCCTGAAATCATGACTTTTGTGTTTTTATGTGATCTTAACTACTTTCTTGCAGCTTATGAAATCAGATGTCATTGTTTATAAAAATCTACATTTGCTTTGAGTCAGCATGCTAATATCTTTGGGGGGGGGGGAGAGGGAGCAGATTGCAATGTATTTCTGCTCTTTTCATTCTAGATTTATTCAGGGAAAACTGCTCTCTTTAAAAGTGGAATTAAAAACCACAAATTACAAAACTTTTTAGCAGCATAAAGCGCTGCTGTTGAAGAACAGAGAAACTGAAAGAGAAATTATCTCAAAAGTCTGTGTAGGACATGAAGTGAAAAGGCAACCACAGCATCTGATTTTTTTTTTTTTTTTTTTTTTTTTTTTATGCCAGGAGGTCAAACTCTATTAGTGATGTTCCAGCAGACAATCTGAGGGGAAGCGTGTTCCTCATCTCGCTGAGAGTCTCTGAAAATGGCCACCTCTTTGTCAGGGCAATTTGCTGATGATCTACGGTTATGATAAGAATGGAGTGAAGTGCTTGCAGGCGGCAAGGGGCCTCAGCAGCCAAGGCACCGGGGCCAACACAGGCAATCAGCCGAGGTCCCGATCGAACGCCTGATAACTGAATGTTCCTGATTGCTTATAAGTATTGCAGGCGGCGGACAGCTAAAGACACTTTCCTGCTGATTTTGATCGACAGCGACGGGTCATTCAAAATCAACAACCGTTAGCCGCTGCTATCAACACCAGAGTTTACATTAAAAGTTTGAGATCCAATCATCTAGCAGCTCTATACCACTGCAGGTGCATTCCACTCTGTACGGGGATTGTTTTATTTCATGTTGTATCCAGAGATGACAGAATGCCCAGCTTAAAAAGACACAAACATCAGCTACACTCATTAGCAAAGGTGTTTAAGTAGCTTTGGAAAAGCTATTCTTTCATTTTAGCACAAAAAAAAGCAATATTGAATTTGTATTTTTTATTAAAGCCACATATGACTTGGAATATCTGTGTCTGTTGATGATGTGGTCATGTCATTATAGTTAATGTCCTATGAAGACAATTTATCAGTTTTCTGGGAGAAGTTTCCTTTTTTTAACATCTAGGTATTTCAAATAATCCACTGTGAAAAACATTTGAGGTTCCCAGGGTCAATACAGGAGAAAAACGCCCAGAGCATCACAGATCCGTCACCCTACATAACTGGATGCATGATGGGATTTTCCATGTAATTCATCCTTTTTTTTTATGCCTGACCTACTAGGACTGTTTCTTTTTCTTTTTTTTTTTTTTTTTTTTTTTGAGAATCTCAGTCGCATCTGACCCAACCAGTTAAATATTTTACAGTAATGTTTAGCAAGTTGAACCTGTGGGACAAAACAGATGTTTTCTGGCCTGCTAACTAAACAACTGGCTGACATGATGTTTAATAGGTTTGGGAACTTGATGATCCCAAAATCCCAGTTTTTGATGCAGCTTTCTAAACATACGCTTTGGAGGATTTTTGCAAAATTTTTCAGCTTTCTGATAACATCGCTGCTGCTATTTGCACATCTGTGTTTTTCTTTTATTTGCCTGTAAATAGTCTATTATTTTCTTATGCATACATATACCTGCACATTTTGTACATTACTTAAGTTATCCTTTCACATTTCTTTGACTCTGAATATGTATTTTTTACTAACTACACTGTCTTTTTGTCTCATTCTTTAAGTTTGACCTTACTGTCTAGTCTGTTATTTTTACTTTCTGTTTTTATATTCTTATATTAGTGTGAATCTACATACTTCATCTTGCCTCACTGATGGATAAAGGAAGTTATTTTGTTCTAAAAAGTGAGGAATAAACTTAAAAAAAAAAAGGCTTCAGTGGCCTTTGTTTTCTATGGCTTAGTTGGGGTTTCAACAGTTGGGGATTTTGTAAGAGCATTCATTTTCTTAGGTGGGATTTTTATTTTCTGACTGAATAAAATGTTAAAGGTCGGAGTGTCCTAAAATTTCCATTGATGTATTTTCAGTTTTAATTAATGCGTTTTTTAAAATATATATTAATACGTCTTCACCAGGGGTGATAAATCCAAAAGTTGCTGCATAACCAATCCCTTACCAAGGTGTTTTTGCTCCATTTCACTAATTTTCAAGGTTGATCATTGCGTATATTCCTCAGAGTGATGCCTCTTTCACATCATTTTTTAAGATAAAGTGCAAGTTAGTTGAGAGTAATCTTGTATTCTTGTTTTATTAGAATTCCATAAGATTTGATTTGATAAATCAATTCATCCTGTTTGATCAAGTCAAGGTTTGATTTCTGTGAGACAAAATAAATTGATGACATTAAAAAAAATCTGATTATTGCATAAACATAAGCTTGTGTTCTTGCTCCCAACAAAGCTGCTGTCACAGGGTCTTTTATTGAGGTATTATGAGAAAATTAACCAATAATGTTGACATAAAAGTGGATTCAATTATCATCATGCACATATGAAAGAGCCTCTTATAAATGATCATTATTTCAAACAAGCTTTGAAGGGAGTTGTAATTATAGTTGTTGAATACAGAAAAATGAGTGAAGAATAAGATTTGATTGAACAATAATGCTCACTCACAGTAACTATAGTTACTCTGAAGTCACACTGACAAAATCCTGTCTTTTCCAGGTTCAAAGCTTTGCAAAAATGTGTCAATACCTGTAAGAAGACGACATATTTACCAAGGGAAAAAAAAAAAACACCTAACAAGTCCATTGCAATCTCTTGCATCATCACTATGAATTATACCGTCAGTTGTATTCATGGAGCTCTGACTACTTGAAATGGCTCGGGACACAAGCTGTTTTCGCTTTGATTTAAATCTGAATTGAGCAAGCCAGGGAAAAAAAAAAAAAAAAAAAAAAAAGTCAAATGTTAGGGGGGCGGGGGAAATGACAAAATGGAATTACAAACATTGAGGTTATTCATTTTGTGCATCTGTTAGCGGAGCTGAGGACTGTTCAAAGCTTGGAAAAGAAGATCCCTTCAAAATGTGTCAGACATTTTTTGTTGAAAATTAATGGTTCATTTAGAGGATTTTTTTTAAGGCACAAATGTTCCCAGTTTTTATTTAATTTTTTAATGAACAGCTAATCTGTGCATTTAGCCCATCTCTGTTGTTTGTCTTTTTCATGTGATCCCACACCGAGTTTGTGATGTTGAGATCAAGGCCACGCCATATGTTGCAGCACCCCTTGTTCTCCCTGAACCTAAATTTAGTGTTAAATTACTCTAAACATAGAGCAGTATGGCTGTAGCTTTTAACAGCTATTCTCAGTTGTTAGTGGTTTGGTTCCATTACTTTGGTTGAGATTCAGAATAATGCATGTCACTTGAATTAAGAAATACCCTCAAGTTGAAATTACAATATTTTTTAAATGAAAAGAATCTCAGTAAGATAAGATAAGCATGTCTAACGTTGCCCAATCAAACATTTTCTGAACCTTCTAATGACTCTTTCAGAAAAGCGACAGATCTACCAAACTTGTAGACGCTATAAGAGACTTTTCAAGACTTTGACTTGAGCATAAATAAGAGAGGTCAGATAAAGTGCCAGGATAAGCTTTTCTGGGTAGCTCAGCACTTCCCCCTCTCACACCTGTTGTAGCCCATTCCTGATCAGCTGACTGAAAAAACAGGGAGAGTAGACTTGTACCACTTTGTGTGTGGAAACTAGGGCAGCGTTTAATTAAATCCAGTATATTGTTCATGATTCGTTTAATTTGTTTATTGACTCTACATTCCTAAATGAGGGGAGTCAATTAACTTTTTTTTTTTCTTTGGTCGCTTGAGATGCAGCGTTTAACAACAAAACACGTGGATTTTATTTGGCTGCGTCAAAATGGGCATGAAACATTTGCACTAAGCTCCCCAAATGAGCGTCGGCGAGCCTCAGAGGCATCACAACAGCCTCCGTGGAGCATTAAAGCTTTGTCAGCTGCAGCAGCCGCACAGAGAAAGCTTCTTCCCCTCCTGAGTCCTTTTCTGGTTTTTTATGAGGTCCCTAATGATGGCAACAGGTTCAGAGTCGTTGGTTATTACTGCCACTGTATGGTGTCTGTAGTTTCTAGCCAGAGATGACCTTTATGTTCAGATAACCTGAAATAAATCCCTTAAGCCTTTTAAGGAACTGAATATCAATTTTATTTTCAGCAAAAAGATAAAAACATCATTTGCACAGTTCTGCCTCTTTGAAATAAATAATACATAGCGGTTGCACATGTGCACACCCAGTTGTGACATAACTCGTTAAAGCTGGGAAAAGGAAAAAAAAAAAGAAAGAAAAGAAAATCGCCACAATATGATTATCATACAGTGTGTCCGTTCACCATCGATATTCAAACCGTACATTGTTTAAAATTCAATTTTAAAATTACAATATATGCTGGACTTTGCAAACTACAGAAGCTAAATTAATTTACTTACAAACCAGACCTCTGTGAGGTCAGCCACTTTAAAAACAAAGACTTGATTTCCGCCCCCCTGCCCCCCTAAAGTCTAGGTGTTGTGAATCTCTAGCACAGCACGGACAAATCCATCATCAAGGCTCACTGATCTGACGCTCCCACCTGGTAGAAAAGCAGAACTAAACCCCGACTTCATAGCTGAGAAATGATACTGTTGGTAATAGAAAGGCAGAAGTAGAAACAGACCGAGACACACACTACATCGCGACATCTGCAAAATGTACTTTCAGGAGAAGAAGAGCTTGTGTTTCTCTGTCACCCTGCTGATATATAAAACTGATGGATGTCGTTCTTTTTATGATTCACACAACTTCCTTAGCACATCGACTACTGTACTTGGTTATACTGTATTATAGGTATGAGTCTGTGTGTCACGTAGTGTTAAAGATACTAGCCAGGGGTGTATTTTTCTTCAGAAAAAACTGTACAACACTGAAGGCGCAGTCATGAAGTATGGAATATTACTGTGGAATACAAAGTTTCTAATAAGCAGACATTAAACAAAAACCCTCTTAATAGTCCTAGTGTGTCTGTATTTGAGCTGATGACATCACATGAGCCAGCAGGAATGAAGCATATAGACTGAATTTGGATGTTGTCAGTGGGACTAAACTCAACAATACAATACAATGACATCAGACAGAAGAACAGTTCAAGCTGTGACCCGTTCAGCCTTGAGCAGCACTGCTGTGGATGGTACAGATGAGGAGGACATTGGTTGATTGGCCTTTGAAAATAAACTGGTTTAATTATATGTACAGCGTCTTGCAGAAGTAACCATTCTGCTTGAACTTCTTAACAACTTGTCAATGTACAACCCCAGACTTTAATGGATTCTCTTCAGTGGAGACTATCACAACGTAGAAAATAACTGTTAAAAAAAGAGTAGTTGGCATTGAAATTTTTATACAAAATAATATGCTGAAAAGTATGATGATAATTTGTATTCAGTACTTTGGAGAACCACCTTTAGCTACAATTACAGCGTAGAAGTCCTTTTGGAAATGTATCTGCCAGCTTTGCACATCTCACACTTTTTTTTCTTTGCTAAATAACTGAAGCTCAGTCAGAAGGAACATAGTGCATCTTGGTTTGAACGTTGACTGGGTCATTTTGACTCAAAGACACGCTTTGATCTAAGCTGTTCAGCTGTAGTTCTGGTTATCTGTTGAGGGCTACCACTCAGCCGGAAGGTCAACCTAAATCTCAAGTCTGTTGCCGATTCCAACAATTTTCCTCTATGATTGTCCTGTATTTACCTCCACCAAGCTCCCGTCCCCTACCGCCCATATAAACTAAAACCAGTATTCAAAAACACTCTTTGTAATTTTAACAAAATTCAAGGGAGTTCAAAGATTTTGAGTACTTTTTTTTTTTTTTTTTACAAGACACTGTATGTTCCAGATGTTTTCCGTCTGACTGGCTCCCATCCATGTTCATCACTTTTAAATTCTATGTCATACGTGTTTGGCTGCAGTGTAGTGGGAGTGGCAGGGAATGCTTGTTTGCTGGTACATACCAATAAAATACTGAATGGACAAATTCCCCCATACACCTTCACTCCATCTGGCTGCAGAGCAACTGGAAAGACGATGGCGGCAAAGGATGTTTGGCAGGAGCAAGTGTAGTAGAGCTAACAGGTAGGATTTGGCTCATCAAAAGTGGATGTGCCTGGCAACCGTAGATGGTGGTAGTGGTGGGTGATGCAGCAGCTGTCCAGCTACCGGCAGGAAACATTTTCTTCTTTCCGTTCCAACTTAAAGTGAAACAATAAGCAGTTTGTTTGTTCAAGAACTTTGCATGAACTGATCTGCAATTCCTCGAGGGCGAAATTCTGGTCATCTTCAACAACTTCGGTGTTTGTTGGAATATCACTCAGAATTTATGCAGTACTTTCATATACGGCCGACTTAAGGGGCCAAACTCTGCCTACAGTCTTTGCCACAACCCCGTTGAACACTTGCGGGATCACTTTAGGTGTGTCGTACATGCCAGAGTGACCAACAGAACCAAATTGGCCGATGGATTCAATGCTGGTTGAAAAATACAATGCCATCCAACAAAAGTGTGTGTCCAAGGAGGTAATCAGAAGAATAATGTGGTCTTCTATGGATCACCTTTACATTACTGAGCCTCTGTTGCGCTAAAGAAACACATTGCTATATTGTCGACGTGTCTTGTTTCTTTAAACTTGGATCATTAAATCCAATAAACCACACCAAACAGGAGTCAATAGTCAATAACGTTTTGGGGATTAGGAGACAGAATTTGGCAGGTGTCTCATGGTGTTGCCCAAATACTCAACTCTGCTGCTTAACCTACAAATCTATTTTCCTCACAAATGTGCCACAATTTAAGGAGAAACAAGCAGTTTTCTAAATATATATTTCATATAAAAGCAAATATATAGTGAGCCAAACTAAGATGTCCTTACTTGTTGTGCTAACTACAACAGCAGGTACAGGTCATTCCCTCCTTTGCCTATTTTACCCAATTTTTCCAGGTACAAAAATATCTACTTTGTGATATATTATATATCTGTTATATTTTGTTAGCTGCTTACAGAAATTCCTAAAAGGAAATGGGAATTGGTTGCAATCGGTTGGTCAAAGCTTTACAAAAACTAGAGAGCAGACATGAAACCCTACAACTAATTCATCTCTGCCCCCTGTGACATCAGCAGAAGTGTGGCCATGTTTACAGACTGTGTGTTTCTAGGATTTACAACTGGGATTTGCCATAAAATGGCACCAGCCCCCCCAACCCTGCCGGGATAACGCATGTAGACAACGGATGGATGAATTTACGACAAAATACCAAAACAAAGAGAAGACCTGATAAAAAAAAAATTATATTGCAGGTGGCAATATCTAAAGTGAGTTTGATCAGATTTTACAGAAAAGTCTGGCTAGTAACTTTAAGAATTATGACTGAGTTCATGAATAATGTTGCTCTGGGTGTAAAGGTTTATAAAATACAGCCCATTTTCAACCGTCTTCTGCAAAAAAACGGTAATAAGAAACATAAATTGTTCTCATATTTCATCTGAGCAGTCCAGAGACTACTGATTAGCTGCCAGGGGGACAGCCTTTCATGAGAAACTTTTTGTTTTTTAGCACAGAGATAGCAAAGGAATGCATCAAAGCCGGAGTGTTGGGACTGTGCCCATCACTGGAATGAAAGGACAGGTTTCTCGCTGGAAAAAAAAAAAGCTTCCACATGTAATGCATTTTGCAGTCAGCGGTTGGACTCGGGCCCAAAATGTGAAACCTTTAATGTCTTTTGCACACAAGGCTTCCTCCTCAGTCAAGCCACTTTTGAAGTCAGTGTCAAAACTCACCATGGCACGCTTTTGAAAGCTCATACTAGGAGGTAAACAAACCAAAAAAACCTTTGAAGTCAAAGTGTTTCTCCTTCAATCACTTATGTTGTCTTTGAATCTTTTCCTCGGCTGCACCAAGGCGGACAAAACCACTTGCTCTGACAATATATTACTCGCACGTTTCAAAGTTCCAGGACTGCTAAGAGAGACATTTGGGGGCTACGAGAACACGCTGTCACTGTTGCCGTACAGGTCGGCCAGCTTTTTAAAGCGCGGCCCCCAGTTGCTGAGGTAGTCGTAGTTCTGGTCCGAGTCTGTACTTAGTGACTCGAGCGAGCTCAGCGACTCGGCTACAGACCCGCTGCCCTCGAAGGCGTACGTCTGCAGGGAGTCGTACGGGGGAGCCGTGGGGTCCACGTCGGCGTCCTTCAGCCGCTCCCAGATGAACTCTCGAAACACCACGTTGTCGGGCAGCGACTTGTAGGACGGGCGGGAAGCAGAGGTGTACTGGTAAAAGGTGGGCGTGTCCGGCGTGACGTCTCGCCGTGCGGCGGGGTCTCTGATGATGTTGAGGTTGCGCAGGGTGACCATGTCGAAGGCCTCCGTGTCTTCCTCTCCCCCTCCTTCGTCGTCGTAGCGGACGATGTTCTCCCTGATGTCCCTCTCCTCCTCCAGGATCAAGGGCTGCTTCCTTCTGCGCCGCATTGTCACAATCAACAGAACCATCACTGCAAAGGGGAGAGGAGGAGAAATCCTGGAGTGAGAAATTGTGGGATGATGTGTATTATCCGTGTGCTGATAATCACTTCACACTGACTTAAGACAACCGGGGAGGAGTAGTGTGCCATTTTTTTTCCCCCCCTTTGATACATCAACTGAGAGAAAAATAGTACAGTCCTTCCAATTTTTTAAAATGAGATTCATAGGAAGCGTATGAGGAAAAGTAGAAGTATGTCTCCAATAAATATATTGTTCACAGTTATCACTGGAATTTCAAGTTCCATGTATTTTCAAGTATAATGTTAGGTAAGATCGCCACGTCTCCTTACAAGAACAAAAACAGCAATTTGTTTACCGTGAAAAAAAAAAAAACTGTTTTCAAAACAGTAATTAGATTTGGTTTAGGTCACTAAAATACTAAAATATCATATTTGTTCTAACATGGCATACAGTGTCCACCACAGTTTTAGTGTCCCAAGTAACAAGGTGGAAAAATCCTAAAAATAAATTCACATTTATTTCAAAACACAAATCTTATTTTTTTTTTCTTTATTTCATCCTTCAGGTTGAATATATGTATTCAGTAGGAACATATAAATGTGTTATTTTTCTTAGTTGGTTTTCAACATGGGGAAGTCAAGCTAAGTTGGCCTGAAAATATGGACAATACAATAATAAGGAATTTCAAATAAAAACCATTAGACACATTTCAAATGCCAATGTCTGGAAGCCATGTTGGGGGAAAAAAAAAATATATATATATATATATATATATATATATTTTACTTTGACTTGATGAAGAAGAAATATGAGAAAAAAAACATTTTATTTTGACATGATGAAGAAGGAATATGAGAATAAAACGTCTCCTGTTAACCTCGTTTAAAAATCAAATGGGTTCCAAGGAAACGAAACCACAAAATCAACCTTCTTTCATGACCGTGTGAAACAAGAGAAGAGACTGAGTGGTGCAACTGACAAAGAGAATTAGGACAAAGTATTCATAATCTTAGTATATCCCAGACATCTTGTTGCGCTATTGAACAATATATGTGCTGTCAAAAGTAAAAGACGAACCTGGAAGTACTAAACTGAAATTAAATTATCAAAATGATTGGACTAGACGACAGGAGATTAATGGCGGAAAACGAGGCTGAGAGTCATAAATAAAAAGTTCAAGTATTAAGCTGAGAAGGCAAAGCTAAACCTTTGATGTAATTCATTTTTGTGTTTTCCGCCGCCCACGTTCCGCTTCCAGACTCGTTCACAGCTCCGCCATGCTGAATGCACGGGCCTCTGAGATCATATAGCAGAAGCTCTCCTTCAACCCCTGCTCCCTCTTCCCATACATTATTGCTGAAAATAACTCCACGCCCAAGCAAACTGGCAAACGTCTAATGATCCTCTATCCATCAATGTCAGGCCGGTGCCAGTGAAATATTGTTCCACTGGTCCATATTTCTTTTCCTGCCCGGCATCGAGCTGCTGCTGCTGCTGGCGGCAGAGAAAGAGGCCCAGGAACCAAATTCAAAGACTACTTCACACCTTCTAATAAAGGAGCAAACAGAGGGGATGGGAAGGAGGGAGGAAGGGAGAGAGAGAGGTGTCACACCGAAGGACTGGGGAGACGAATGGGCAGCGTTCTGTTAGCTGTTTGGGAACCGCATGCATCCACGGTACCTTAGTGGTCTGGAAAAGTCCAGCATTTGATTTCCATTTGTCCAAATAAGGATAACTGTGGAAAAATAATAATCTTAGAATAGAATTTAATCTAGAAAAATGTTTCCTTCCTCATTTCCTTGTTGACTAACTTCCTTCTGCCTTGCATCCCTCCTTGCTTCTTTTATCTTTCCCTTGTGTTGTCCTTCATTCCTTTTTCTGTCAGCTTTATGCTGCTCCTCTTCTTTCTTGCTTTGTGACTTGACATACTTGATCCGTTCGACGAAATTTAAAAGCATGTCTGCTGTATAAATATTTCTGAACACATGGTGAACTTTTGTATTTTATATTGTAAAATGAACATGGAGGACTGAGAAGTAAAAAAACAAACACAAAAAACTGAGTGTGGAATTTTTACATGACAAAATGTGTAGGAATCGTGTGTAACATGCAGAACATTGCAGCTCACCGGGACTTTGAGTGGTCCCTTCTTTTTCCAATTACCCTCCTTAGATCCAGGACACATTTTAGTGCTTCCAAACATTTCCAAGGGAGATTGTTTCTTCTGTTTTTAGAGCCCCGAGTCATTCTAAATTCCATTCAATTCAGCAAGGCTCCGCTAAAATGAATTACAAAGTGGCACATCCAAATAGAATATTCCAAGTGCTTTCCAGCAAAGCTCTTTAGGGTTTAATGCCTAGAAGGCAGACACAATGCTTCATGGACTGGAAACAGGCCAACATCCAGTTACAGCCTTCTAGGTGGAGCTGGTTGATGGCCGAGAATACAGATGGTTTGTTCCGAGGCTCTTTTGAGAGACGCAGTTTAGCAAACGCAGCCCCGGTACGACAGGTACCCACTCTTCACTTTGGAGAACAGATGTAAACTAAGTGAACAACAGAGGGGGAAAAAAAAAAAAAAGGAGATCAATTCCGCGCTACAAAGGCTTTTGCTGTAATTGAATTGTTTAAATGATCTACCCCACGCAATCGATAGTGAACAAGGTGAATTTTCTCTGCTGCCCTTTTCTTACCAGCAGGCATCGCTTTCTCATTAGAGTATTTCTATATGTGTGATTCAGGTGAACACGCAACAGGTTATTTACTCACTGCCTCACCCACACAGTCCGTGTCTCTGCGCTGCTGTTTAATAAAGATGAATTAATCAACGACTTTGACACAGACATGTACGAAGAATGTAGACAAGCCTCGCACACGAAGCTTGCATTGCTCAATTAATTCCTCAAGGCTTTCCTGCTGCTGAAATGCTGCATGTCATCTTTGTAAAACAATTACTGTACATATAGTATAACATGCACCTCTAACCAAGTGAGTGATATTATTAGGAGGTATTGCTACAGAAGTCAAATTTCTGACTACTCTACCCACTTCACTGATGGAAGAACAGGCTTGTTTTAACTAAACCAGATACAGATTTACACTTTATGTTAAAGTGAAGCTTATTGTTTGAACAGCGCATACATGAACTTATTGTTAATTTATGACATAGCCTATTGCAAGTTTTGGTTTCATACGTTTGATTTTAGGAAAGAGTTTCTTCAGCTAGAATTTAATTTACTTCCAAACACTTTTTAAAAAACTTCATGTTGGACTAGTTGCATCATTTTTGAATATTAAATCACATTATATAATAGGTAATACAGTACTTAAGCACCCTTATATTCAATTTAAACCCAAAATTATATATTTTTTTCATGTAAATAATTCATAATGTGTGAAATGTTAATCCAAAAACACAAACTATGTTCCAAGAACGTTGAAGCATTTGTTTAGCTAAATCATCTGCTGAAAAGTTGAGTTTTATGAAATGTTCCTATTATTTAGTATTTTGGCATGCTGTTATGTTCACCTTTTGCAGGGCTTGACAAATCTTTAATTACAAGTTTGTTGTTTTTCTTCTCTTTTACCTTGCATTCATTTTTACAGAGCTTGTTTCTCTACAGAAAGAGCCTCAGTTCCCCTTATACTGACTTTGCCATATTGAAATACTTTGCCATGTTTGCTAATATTCAAGTGTACATGTTTTCTGCTAGGTTCTCTGTTAATGTCTTTTTAATTCTTGTTCGCGTCAGTCAGACTTTGTTCCCCTCGCTGTCTTGCTTGTGCTTTCTTTAGCTAGCCTTAACTGGTGCTTTTGTTTCAGCTCTTCAGCTTCCCGTTTGCCCAGTGATTGTTTCTCAAATAAAGCCAGTGGTTCTATGATATACCTGCTTCTGAACTTTTTGAACTTCTGAACTTTTTTGGGTCTTCCTTCATTATAGAATAGGAAAAAGCCCCCGGAAGGAGCTGTGCAGAAATGCTTAGATTTACGTATACGAATGGAATGACTAACTCACCCCTTCCAGCATGGTAATAAGCTACAAGAGAAATAACAGCAATGCTCAAACATTTAGACTACAGGAACTAGAGGGAAAGTCTGATTGATCTAATCAAATGTGAAGGTTTCGATCCCCCAACTGCCTTACACCCACACATTGAGCTTTGTTTACTGTGAATTCAACCTGGGTAAAACAATCTTTCCGAAAGAGCGAATGCATTTCCAACAAGAGCAACACACACTGAAAAGAGCGAATGGAAAATCTGTGTCTGGTCACATAAAGAAGTGTCTTTCTCCTTCAGGGATGCGACTGTCTGCTGCTGCTGCGAATGTACAAAGTGATGAATGACGACAGACAGGAGCTATCACAACAGTTATGCAGGCCTTCCTCTGTTCTCCAGCAATGCTTCTCGGAGCTTTCTGCATTCCTGTGAATGCAAGGTGTCGCACACACGCCTGTGATCCTTTTGCAGTTCTTTGGTCACTAAACGGCTTTTGCACACTTTGTGCTATTTCGACCATTAAACTTTTTCAGCTAATTCAGCAGATGTGTGTGGTGACTTTCCAGTTTTAACAACTTTTATACTTGTTGAAATATGCATGATACCTTGGACGAAGGATAACTGAATTAGCCTACTTCTAGCTGGAAAAACAATTTGGAATAACTTTTGCCATTTTCTAAAATCACACTTTGAGTTTCATGAAGCTTTTTGGACAGATACTCCATTTTCCCAGCCTAAAGCTGACGATCAAACCCATTTTATAGGCTTATTTCCTAGGTTACACATTTTGTAAACATGGTCTGAGATGACAAGATGTGTGCTCTTTACTTAGAGATGAGCACATTTAAAACAACCAGTGTTGCATAACGCATGATGCATAACGAAGCTGTAACTCTCCCTCATGTCTGAATGATAGCACAGCAACATTATGATTGAACACAAAAATGTACATTACATACACCGTCAGATCTACTCATGCTTTGGTGACCATCTGATCAGTTCACTAATTA